TACATCTCAGAAGGCAGCACTGCCTTGTCCTTGTTTCTCCTCAGCCTGGCACCAGTGGGAGTGTACCCAAAAACAAGTCCCCCTCTCACTCCAAAGCCCCTGTCCCCAAGAAACAGAGGCAGGTCACCCTGGCTCAGTGGGGGAAAGGCAGAGACAAAGGGGGGCCTGTTCCAAAGGTGAGCAAGGTCACCCAGAGCATTGGGGAAATGCTTGCTCTGGATGGCCAGCCCTTCTCCTTTGTTCAGCGTCCAGGGTTCAGGTGGCTCATGGCGCTTGTGGCCCCATCATACCAAGTGCCCGCACGTGCCACCTTTAGCAGGACGGTGATGCCTTCTCTGTATGAGCCATACAGGGAGTATTTGAGGGAGGAGCTGTGGAAGGCATGGCCACAGGTAGCCTTGTACTTCACCTCGGACATCTGGAGCAGCCAAGGTGGAGATCATGCCTACCTCTCCTTCACAGGGCACTGATGCAATCAGTCAGGGCATTGGTGGGCTCTCCTTCAAGTGGAGGTGATGGATGGGTCCCACATGGAAAGGGAGATCATGGTGGCCATAAACCACATGGTGCAGGGGTGGCTCATTGGGCAGGGCGAGCTCACCCATGGGTTCAGAATCACCGATAATAGAGCCAATATGGTCAAGATGGCGCATACCAACTTTGTTGGCATCCACTGTGTGGCACACAAGTTCCACCTCGTAGTCAGGTATGCCTTGGAGGGGGACAGGGCTCCCAATGCTGGCACTGTCACTACCAGCCAGCTTATTTCAAAATGCAGGAAGGTGGTGGGCTACTTCCACAGGAGCATCAAAGTGGGCAAGATGCTGCAGGACAAACAGGCAGAACTGAGCATCTCACAGCACAAAATCATGAAGGATGTGGAGACTTGGTGGAACTCCATATACCTGATGCTGGAAAGGCTGGTTTAGCAACAGAAGGCCATCCATGAGACAGCCTTGGTTGGGGGAGACTGGGATCAGAACCCCCTTAACAAAACTGAGTGGGATACCATCTCCCGATCTTGGTGGTCCTCAAGCCATTCCTTGAGGCCGCCAAAAGTCTCAGCACTGGCAATGCCCTCCTTAGTCAGGTGATCCCTGGATAGTTCCAGGGGATCAGTGTTCCTGGCTGGGGAAAGCTGCTTTCACCAGAGGTGCAGGCACTGGTGAAGTAGCTGAAGGAGGTCATCAAAAAAACAGCTGTATCCCTTGCGGTCCAGTATGGTTCCACATGCTGGCAAGCATGTGTAACCCGATGGTGAAGGGGAGCATCTGCAGCAGCAAAACCCTTGACCACTGGACGGAGGTGCTGGTGAACAGAGTCAGGGGGGCAGAAGGGCAGAGGCAGGGGGACATGGAAGAGGGGGATCCATTTTCCAGTTCCAGCACTCCAACCACAAGCCACCCTCCTCCACCACAGCTGCTACCAATGTGGACCAAGGACATGGCTTCAATGTTGGGATCCAGTGGCACCAGATCCCACCATCAGGAAGGTAGTGTGGAGGTCTTGGTGGCTAGCTGTCTCGTCAAGAACGTGGAGCCACTGCACTGTGACCCCTAGCCTATTGGGCAAACCACAGCCAGGTGTGGCAGGATCTGACCACAGTTGCCCAGAAACACCTGTCCTGTCCATCAACCAGTTTTCCAAGCGAGAGGGTGTTCAGCACTGCTGGTGATGTTGTGACACCCCACCACACCTCCTTGGATCCTGGTTTGGTGGTGCAGCTGGTGTTCCTGAAGGTAAACCTCCCACTGCTGGGGTTCCCCAAGATTCACCTGCAGAAGGAGTGAGTGCCACCCTCTTCACTCTGCACCTATTTCATTTTTTTTATTTGCTTTCAGAATCTTGAGGTGTACTTTCACAGAAACCCCTGCACCACTCTGCCTGAAACCTGGCAGGCCTCATACCTGCACAAGGGGCTACCATCCCTGCTGCGTTCATTTTGCTCTACCTTAACACACACAAGTAATATGAGTTTTGCTTTCAACAGTTTGAGGGGCACTTTCACAGAAACCCCTGAACCTATCTCCTGGAAACTTGGCAGGCTTCATGCCCTTAGAAGGAGATATGATCCCTGCTGTTTTCATCTGAATCTGCAAAAAAATGACAAAGTTATAGGTATTTTAGTGATTCCCCATTAGTCTATGGCCAAATCTTTGAATTGGTGCCAAATCTCCAAATTCGAATCGACTGAATCAAATTAAGACAGTGATTTGAATCACCAAACTGAATCACTGTCCCTCTGAATTGGCCAAATACTAATCAAATACTTGCTGCTTCACACAGGCCTACTGTTCAGAGTCATGCCTCCCTGCTGTAGTGGTCAAATTTTTACCTCAGGCCCTTCTGTAGGGATGAATCTGTTGCCCAGTAAAATGTCACCTGTTAAAAAGAATAGAAAACACCACAGGCAGAAAATTAATGTTACATGTTCTATTGATTAGATATTGGGGAGGTGAGGACTCAGGACTCCTTGGAGCAGTTGCCTTTTGGGTAACTAATTAGCTGAGTGACCTTGAGATCATTACCTTCTTGCTTTGTGCCTACAGGCCAACACAAGTCAATGGAAATGCCTGCATTGCTTCAGTAGGCTACAGTCAAATGTTTAATGACTTCATCATTAAAATAACAATACTTGCCTAAGCCTCATCCTTTCCAGCTTTCAGGATCAGACCTCTTCCCTCTAAAAGTCAATGGAAGTTTTCCTGGAGTGTAGACTAGAATCTTACCCCTTGCTCCCTCACCAGTGTATTCTCAGGTTTAGTTAATGGGCATAATACACACTTGCTTTATTCTAGCTCCTACACCAATCAAATAAGTAACATAAATAAGAGAATGCTTCAGTGGTAGAAAGTGGACATACCTCCCTCTCTCCTTCTACAGAGAGTCACTGTCCACTGAAAGTCCACTGAAAGGGCAGCCAGGAGCTTGCTGCTGCCTCAATGCTTCTTCATGGTATCTTCTTCCCTTGTAGCTCCTAGAAAGCACTGGCCCCACTCTTAAACAGAAAATAATCTTAGAAGGGTGACAATAGAAGCAGTATTCCCAGTCTTCTCTAGAAGGCAGTGAGTCTTAGAGCTGGAGAGAAATGCAGCTTGGACCTATGTGAACCTAGTCCAGTGAACAAAACTCTGTATTCCCTCCCCTTCACTGTAATTTAAGAAGAACTCCATAGAAGTCCATAGAGTTGTAAGTTGTAGATACAAGGATTGAGGCTCGTACCTTCTGATCTCCAGCAGAAAGGCACTATACCTGTGCAGCGTGATAGCTAAGACAATAACTCAAGTCCTTGAAGCTTCCTGTGCAAAGGTATTTATGGTAATAATAGCACTATTTGGTCAGCCAGTGTGCGATCACTATATAAATAAAATTCTAATTGTGTGCAGGGCATATGGCCAAAGTGGGAATCCACTAGGCTTTTTTTCTACTGTGAGGAAGAAAGAACACCAAAACTTAATTAAAGGCAGCAAATGCTGATTTCTTTATTTCATAGATTTCATAGATTTCATAGACATTTGGGCTGAAAGGGACCCCAGAGGATCATTGAGTCCAGCCCCCCACCCCAGGGGCAGGAAGTCAGCAGGGATCATAGGATCCCAGCAAGATAAGCATCCAAATGTGTTTTGAAGGCATTCAAAGTAGGCGCTAGAACCACCTCAGGTGGCAGTCTAGTCCAAACCTTGGGGGCTCGGACAGCGAAGAAGTTCTTTCTTATGTCCAGCCTGAACCAGTCACAGTGGAGTTTGTGACCATTCGATCTTGTTATCCCTTGAGGGGCTCTGGTGAACAGACGTTCCCCCAAATCCTGATGAGCACTCCTGATAAACTTACAGGTGGCCACCAGATCACACCTGAGCCTGCGCTTTTCCAGACTGAATAGCCCCATTGCTCTCAGCCTCTCATCATAAGGTCTGTTTTCCTGACCTCTGATCATGCACATGGCTCTCCTCTGCACCCTCTCAAGCTTCTCAATATCCTTTTTGAATTACGGAGCCCAAAACTGGATGCAGTATTCCAGCTGTGGCCTCACCAAGGGCAAGTACAAGTACAAGGGGAGAATGATGTCCTGGGATCTGCTTGAGAAGCATCTACGGATGCAAGCCAGTGTTTTGCTTGCTTTACTAGCCGCAGCATCACACTGAAGGCTCATGTTCATCTCGTGGTCAACCACAACACCCAAGTGCCTTTCATCTGTAGAGCTAACCAGTGTAGCACTACTGAGCCTATCAGCATGGTGCAGGTTTTTCCTCCCAAGCTGGAGAACCTTGCATTTTTCGGTGTTGAACATCATCAGGTTCTCGTCCGCCCATTTCATGAGTCTGTCCAGATCCACCTGGATCACCCTCCTGTCCTGTCATGTGTGGATGCTTTACCCCAGAGTTTGGTGTCATTGGCAAACTTGGCCAGTCCGCTCCTGACACCAATGTCCACATCATTGATGAAGATGTTAAACAGTATAGGCTGTAGGACAGAGCCTTGTGGGACCCCACTGGTCACAGCACACCAAGACGATTGACTCCCATCGACCACCACCCTCTGGGTCCTACTGCAGAGCCAGTTCCCCAGCCAGTGGATTGTGGTGACTCCAAGGCCACAGTTAGCCAGTTTAACCAAGAGGTGATCACGGGATACCAGATCGAAGTCTTTTTTAAAGTCAAGGTATATGACGTCGATCTCTTCCCCTTTGTCCAGGTGATAAGTCACCTGGTCATAAAAGGAAATGAGATTGGTCAAGCAAGACCTACCTGCAACAAACCCATGCTGGGTATCCCTCAGGATATTGCCTTCAGCTAGTCTGTTAAGGATGGCCTCCTTGATAATCTTTTCCAAGACTTTCCCCAGGAGAGAGGTCAGGCTGATGGGCCTGTAGTTTCCCGGATCTACTTTCCTCCCTTTCTTGAAGATAGGCACGACATTGGCCCTCTTCCAATCATCGGGCACTTCACCAGAGCGCCAAGAACTCTCAAAGATCTGTGCCAGGGGCTGAGCTATGATGCTCGCCAGCAACCTGAGTACCCTTGGGTGTAACCCATCAGGGCCGGCTGACTTGGAGGTATCCAGCCTTTAATTAAAAGGACTTCAGTAACTCCAAAACAGATGGTTGATTTCTCCTCTTTTTTAAGAGTATCTTTGAAATGTGAAGAGATATGAAAAAAATGGACAAAACTTCATTGCCCTTTTCTTGGTTATTCTAGTGCTAAATATTGCTACTCTGCAGTGTATGGGTGAGATCCACAGCTGATACAAATCAGTACCATTCCACTGACTCCAATTAAGCTATGCCAATTTATACTAAGTAATGTTGTGGCTCGCCATATTTTATATAATATAAAGTAAACTTGTAGCCACTCAGACCTAGTGGACATCACCTGATGTTTAAACTTTGCATGTCCACAAGCCATAATCTAATCTCAGGTACACCAGTATCAATCCAGTGTAACTCTTGGGATTCCAATGAAGTTACACCAACATCACTGAGTTTAGAAACTGACTACCAGTATCCATTAAGGAGATTACTTCATACTGAAAAAGGAGCAAGGATTACAGAGTAGCTGAAGTGCTTTGCTAGATATAATACAGGAGGGACACAAGCAGCTGTTCAGTTCAAGCCTAATGGATTTGACACACAATTATAGCGCTGAGTTTCTTGAACACCTGTCTCCCTACCTGAGAACCATGGGTGGAAAGAACTGTTCCATGTTAATACGTTTGTAACCATTCTTCTTGGCACAGCAACAAGTACCAGGTTCAGATGTGTCAAGGTTACTCTTCTGCCCTCTCCAAAATTCAGGATCTCCCTCTCACCCCACACCTACAAATTTGTATTTAACTTACATACCAAAGACCAGATCTTTAGCTAGTGTAGCCTGGCCAACCCTATTAAGATCATTAGAATCTGGCTGATTATATGTCCTACGGAACTGGCCTCAAGATTTTACTGTTTAAAACAACCTTCTCCGGTATTAAATTCCCATTTCAAGATCCATCGTTAATATCTCCATGTGTTTCATTAGAACTGGGTTCATGACAGTTATGAGTGCAGTAGATTTTTTAATAACAGTAAAGTTTCACTGAAGGAAAGATTTTTTTCTATGAATAAATTAGTTGGTTCTGGTATATATTATTTGCTTAAAGGGAAGAACTGTGCCATCCTGTAAATTTAAACCATGCTGTCAACTCGTGATATTATTCCAATATTTGGTGTTTTTCTTAGAGGCTCCATTCTTGGAATAATTGATTTGTGAGAATACTAACATTCTGCACCACCTCAGACCTATACTAGTGAGTACCCAGTGTAGCATGCTCTCTCTCCACATGTTGTGCCCCAAAATGGACATAACATATATGCCATAGAACTACACAGGGTGTGTGCAAAAAAGTGCTCCTGAGACAGCAAGCTTACCAGCATGCATCCACTACCACGTTGTTTGTTACATCCATCCAGGTAGACAGCATATGACACAGGTACAACTTGACTGCTTCATTGTGGCAGTCACTGATGCATTCTTGAGGCAGCATAGATATGTCCTGAGGGTACATTTGGTTCTCTTCCTAGTCATCTGTGTGTCCAGATTGGGTCTTTTGGCACTTTTGGCATTTACACACTACTGGAATTCTTTCCTGGATGCACAATCCTGCATGTATAGGCACCTGTGGTTGCAGGCAGACTGGGCATATGCAGTAGGCTCTGTACTGGCCATATACATTGATGGTCATGTGTATGAGCTCCCTGTGGATGCATAGTGGCCTTAGATTCCTGTAAATGTAGTAGACTAAACCCAGGACTATCAGGACTTAAAACTCAGGTAGTCTGCTTTTCCCCTGCCACCAAAAAATCCTAACAGCAACACAGAGGGTTGATGGATGAATACATTACCAATTAACCCATTTGCTCTTAAAACTGGAAAACCCATCTGCTCCAGGATCTTTTCTTTGCTAGAGCATCACCGGCCTTCCAAAGATGGCAAGACCTGAAGTTCGGTGCAGGAGCCATTCTGTTATGAGCCTACTCATAGTCCTCCTGGTCCATGTCACTCCTGTTGACCATGTTGCCCTCCAAGACCCAGTCTGCATCCTGGATTCTCTTCTACCAGCCCTCAGTACTTCTGCCTTGGCCTAGCACTGATACCAGTCCTGGTAGCGCCCACAAGCTGACATCTCCACCGTGATCCATTTATAAATGGCCTGATTTCATTGGTTCTTTCTGCGGGACCTCTGGGAACTGTCTTCCCTCCAGACACTTCCAACTCGTGGAGTATTTCATGGATCCAGACATTTTTGTCATTTACTTGGTGGGTGAGTTGGTACTCAAGAGGTTTTGTGCTGCTCTCAAGAAGCCAAATTTGCTGGGGTGGGGGGGACGGGAGGGG